TCCTTCCCTTTCATTCCCTATCACCAATCCCCAAAAATTTACTACTCGTAATTTACTAACAATAAATATTCCATTCCCTTCCCGTCCCTTTCCTTAAACCTCAACCTATCTCAATAAATAAACATCCCAAGGCTGCCGTTTGTCTCATAAGTATATATACGCAACGAAAAAGAAAACATTCCCTCAACGCCTTTGCCCAACTTTCTACTTTGTCTTGCTTTCGCAAACTACTTTGATTCGCTTCGTTAAAGAATAACGAAATTTCTACCCCTTGAAACCAGATTTCGTACGATGTAAAATTTTTAATCATATCGCCCAACTACCCCTCCTAGCTCTTACACCCCAAGCACTAGGTGATGATGCACCATTCGACATGGAAGGATGTTGTCGCGCCCATTCTAGAATATATATTCGTAACGCTTTCCACCTAGCACCATAACCCCCTTCACTTCTTTCCCCATTAATAAATTTCCCTTTCTTCTCTTCTACATGACCATCAACTGCCACTAAACCAATATGTCCTTTGATATTCTGACTCTTGTCATCTACTCTCAATTCCTCTTCCGGAATTTGAGAAATCTTTGCCAACTCTTCGTCATATTGCCGAGCTAAAGATGGATATCCGAGGGAAAGGTAATTGTAAACTTGTGTAACAAACGTATCATCAAACTCCTGCAACAACATATCTTCAGATTTTGACCTCGCCACCTCGGCTTTTAACCTATCATCGAGTCCACTGAGCATATGAACACCACCCTTGTTTCTCTCGGATGATTTGGCAGGAATATTTGGCGTTGCATTTGAAAACGCGGAAGAAAACGGATCATCCATTTCCATGTGCGGGGTTGCAATCATTTGTGGTCTTTTGACAACATCCGGGCTGAGGTATTGTTCATTTTCCTCGGCAACACAATAACCGCCCCATAAACCTCCTCCATCTTCGACTCGGTGTGGTTGTACGTCATGTCGTTGATCGGATTCGAATTTTGTCGCCTTTGGAGAAGGACACATGCGAAAGACTAAATCACCACCAAGCATTGGAGGAGAAGCTGCGTTACGCATTCGAACTAATTCAGCTTCCTTTTGTTTATCTTGAGGAGTGCCACTTGGTCGAGTTTTATCCGTCATTCCATTTGTCCAAAAAGGATCGTGAAATGTTGGGGCTGTGGCTTCCTCAGCTACTTTCTTATTGGTCTCCTCTTCTCTCAACCGATTCAAATTCTCCTGATGTTGTTGCATTTCTTTCGCTGCCCACCCAACCTCTGTAGAATTTCTGCGAAGTTCCTGAATATGTGCATCATCCACTAACATGCCTACACCTTCTACGGAATCTTCTTCGGAAGCTGTGTCGATCTCCCTATCGTAGAAATGTTCTACAATCTCGTAAGCCGACTCGTTGGGGAATGCCGCTAATGCTTGTTCCATGAGTTGTTTCTCGGCAGCTTTAGCAGCTAGTGCCAGGAGATAACCCGCAAATCTCTCATCACAACTTTCTCGCGTTCGTGCCATTTGCATCTTTAACATGGAATCTTCCGAAGATCCCAGTGATCCAGATAAAGACGGTGTGGACTCGGCATCTTCATCCTCGTTCTCCGAATTTTCCTGTGAATTCTCATCCGAGTCTATAGGGTCTAATTCTGGTTGATAAGAATTCGATCGCGTGCTTTTTCTAGTATTATTGTGAGGGCGCATTGAGGGTTGTCGACGCGGTAGTGAAAGTGGAATGTGGGAATGGATATCTGCGGAGGAAGAAACTGGCGTGTTGTCGGGTGCCAAAGGAACTGGTATTGGACGTATATATTTTCGTTTTTTCTCCGCATAGATATGATTTGTACCCTGGAAACATTAGATACCGAGTGACAAGGAGAACTTTAAGTGCGAAGCATACCGGTGTTATGTCAGTCTTATCAGTAGGCAAGGTAGCCGGGCCAGGAGTGGTAGATCTCTTGAACCTTTTTGACGTTTCTATTAATTGAGGTGTGAACCTTCTTCTTGGGGCCGATGGATCTGCAGCAGCTGGAGCTTGTGATTTGGACTCGGGAACAAGTTCTGGAGTTGGCAGCGGACTTGGTGATTTTGCTTTGCTTGACTTTTGTGTAGTTTCCACGGGTTGAGGCAGGAAGCGTCTCTTGGGCGGGGCAGCGGCAAAGTCCTTCTTTTCTATAGCATTCTCGACTTGCTCTACATTCTCTTTCTTGTTACTTCTTGTCGTCGTTTCGACCGGTTCCACGGCAAACTTTCTCACTTTCTTCACCGTCTCCTCAATCGGAGTTGGATCGAATCGAGTTCGTGGTGGGGTGACGTAGCTGACATGATCTTGAAGAGAGTTGAGTCGTGGGAGGAAGAAATGGAAATGATGAATCCCTAATTTTGTTATTATATCGATGCATACCAGAGTTCAAGTGAAAAGAATGAACCGATTGAAGTTGTGATGGAAAGTAAATGGGTGATGTGTGTTGTGGTGGTTTGTGGTTGTCATGTATTAGTAGATTTTATTATGGCCCTGGTCTATTATCCAGCTTGTGAATGGCATTGCATACTAAGTAGGAATTTTGGGTTTGAGATGGGAAGTATGGTATGAGATAGGACACCCAGTCAGTACTAGGGAGAATGAAGAATTACAGAGGACTGACATAAGTCGGTCTAAGAAGGAACGTTGATTGGATTGATTGAGTTTGAGTGGAGAGGGGAAGGGAGGGGTGGGGAGGAATTAATCCTTGGTTTCTTCGTTCTAGAAGCGAAAATGTGAAGGATGAGTGGAGTCGAGTTTGTGACTTGAGTGAAGTTGAAGAGATTAGCGGACGTAGTTTTGGCTTTCACACGTAGAGGTGAATACTTCGATTACCGGACGTCGTTTTTGAAAGGGTTAATAAGTTTGGGAAGAAAACCCCCGCCATGACCAGGGGATTATGTATGAGTGAGAGGGCAGGTAGGAGGTCGATATAACTGGGTAAGAAGGTCACATGTGACATGTAACAACTCATGAGATTTATTAGGTCCTTTCGTATGTGGTTTGTAGTTTCACGTTGAAATATGTGTCGAGGATATTTTATCTTTTACCTGTTATATAAAACATGTTGTATTTTATATGGTATATATGTTATATTTTACATGTTATATATATTATATATTATGTATTATAATGATTATATATTATAATAGGCTTCGAGAGATACACATCGGAATAACTACAAAAGTAAGAGAAACATCTACAGACCGAGGGGCAGATATCTCCTCCCATAAGTAATTATCAATGATTGACTCAACGTATCGTATCTATGAATAGAATAATCTGCAAAGACTGGTACGGTAAAACCTTATCAATCAATTAATCATTCATTTCTTCAATCCATAAATCCATCAATCCATCATTCCATTCATTCCATTCATTCCATCCAATATTCCCTACAAAGTTACAAGGCTAGGATGAGCGATACCAAATAATCCAACGTGAACCCCTTGAAGACTCGTACAATCCCTCTCAACCCAATTCAACAATTTACAATTGGGCCATCCATGAAGGACTTGCCACTGGATGAATGTCATGTAATGTAATGTAATAGGAAGAGGAAGGAGATATCAGATCTAGGTATGATGTTGCAATCTCCTATGCTGATATCTATCGTCTATCTAGTATATACATATCTACATTTATATCTACCTACCAGGTACCGCCCGCCCTCTTGCTTCTTTTCCACATCTCGTCTTTCCTAAACCAGATATCCGGTTTAGTTAGTTATTAGCATCGTTCAGTTAGCAAGGTGTAGGTCGTTCGCTTCTGTCCATCTGATCCATCTATTCCAGATCTAGGGATGACATCTCCTCCCATCCCGATACAATAAGCAAACATCAATTATCAATTATCAATTATCAATTATCAATTATCAATCATCAAACATCCAACATCCAACATCCAACATCAAACATCAAACATCAAACATCAAATCCAAAAAGCATACTTCCATCTCTACTTCCACATCTTCTTCCCTCTCTACTTCCACCCACCCACCTTATCACACCCAAACCCCAAACCCCAAACCCCCCTTAAACAATCATCTAGTCCAGCATCCAAACCCTCACGCGACCTCCATCTCAAAGTCCAGACTCCATCCAAATTCTCCATCCATCCAAACACCAATAAACATTACACATACATACCGTTCACCGTTTCTTCACGATCCATCCATCATCCATCATCCATCATCCATCCATACTCCGTACTCCATACCGCATACGTAGGTACCGACTCCATATCTTTCACCCCCCTCCCCTCCCACATCATCAATTGAATCTTCCAACCAGCAAACGCTTCGTTTCGTTTCGTTTCGTTTCAATCTGTTCCATTCCCGTCGTGACTCCAACCTCCAACGCCCACAAGTCCCTAGTTCTACCGTACCCTATATACATCAATTGATTCACCTAGCGCATGCATGCATGCATGCATGTTTCACAATTTCTTTTTCTCTTCGTGTTCTTTACTACTAGCTATACTCATACATACACACATGCATGCATACATACATTGTCAATCACTTCACATGAATACTTGAATTCACAATACTTCTTCTCGCACACACGCGTACATACATTTAACAGTCCAGATTCAGTTGAATATTATCATTATATTGAATATCATTCAATTCCCATTACAGACCCAACTTCACATGCCTATCAATCATACAAGACTTAAGATGGCTGCAAATGAATCCCGACGCCATTTCCTCTTCTACCTTATGCTCCCTATGTGTATAAGATCAAAATAAATATAACGAATGAGTGAATAAACAGTCAATCAAATAGATGAATGAATGCAAAAACCCGGCACTATACATGAGCCAAAATATCTGATACAACTACACATTCAAAGTGTAGATTTGTGCAAAGAGAACCTTAAAAGGTCCAAACAATACACAAATGAGTCGAAAAGACTCGAGCAGAGTAAATCGAACAAAGAGTGAGAAAAGAAGAAAGAAAAAAAAGATCTCCTGTCACAGGGTAAATCATTTCTCCTTTAACTGTCTTGGTAATCCAGCTGCTCTCCTCATTTGAATATCTCCCTCGGCCAACCATCGACTAGCTTTGACCAATTGTACGACATTGATGATTTGTTTTCCTGCCATGATGGGGAATGAGATTCCGGCAATGATCCATGGCCAGGTTGAATCCATCTTATTGGCGCGCGCAAGCTCCAATGCGCCGGCGCTGTAGGGATTGGCAAAGAGGGATGCGGCAGATGGGTTGGAGGGGCTTCCGGGGACGAGTGTGCTTGCTGCTTCGCCATTGTTGGTAACTTGGAGGAGAGATGGTGAGAGCAGAGGAGAGGAGAAGGAAAGGAGGTAGAGGGCGATGAAGAAAACTTCGTTAAGAGCACAGAAGAGGAACAGGACAGTCTATCATCTTTTGTTAGTTTAAAGAGTAGAAATATCATGCATAAGTGTACATACCTTATTTGTGTAATACAAGTTCAAAATCCAACTTCGAGATTTGTCGACTTGCTTATGACTGGTATCTCCTCCTCCCATAACAAGAGTCGCATACATGTGAATGTAATGACTAGCCAAATCCAACGAGATGAGTCCTTGGAAAAGAAGAGCCCATCGAGGCCAGGCTGAAGAAAGGAAGACCAGCAAACAGGCGGTGGTACAACGATCGGTCACCATATCCAACACCGCACCAAATTTTGTAGATTGTTCAAAGTAGCGGGCAGCATATCCATCGAGAGCATCGAGAAGACAGGAGATACTGTAGAGAAGAGTACAGGTACGTGGATGAAGGGGCATGTAGTATAGAGAAACCAATGCGAGAACGATTCGAAAGTATCCTATGAAGGATTAGCATGCGCCATCCTGTTCGCACATAGATTTGAGGAAGCTCACCGATAACATTGGGCCAGAAGAGAAATATGTTTTCTTTAACATGCACAGCCTCTTCAGACTTATGTGCCGAACCATTACCATTGCCATTCATGATGACTTGTTCACGAGCTGCGGGCGTAGGAGTTGATGGTGTAGAAGCAGCAGCTGTTTGTCGTCTGGTTTTGACACTGGACATTGTTTGATATTGATTGAGAAGCTTCCAACTCAATGATATTATGTGCGGAAAGATGTTGTGGTGTGAACAGCAATGTTGTATTGAGTTGGACTCGAGGAAATGGTTGGCGTGGAGGTTTTTGAGAAGCTGTGTCGAGGTAGGTAAAATTTGTTAACTCGGTAGGTGCCAAAGCTTCGATTAATACGTAGAACCTCTTAATTACAAGATGATGTAGTAGAAATGTCGGGGTATGGAAACGAAATAGAAGCTTCAAAGTATAATGTGGGAAATGGAAGATAGTTATTGGAAGTGTGATTGATTGTCATAAAAGGAATGTTAGAAAATGGGTAGGATGGTAGGACGGTAGGATGGTAAAATGGGTGAAATGGGTAGAAAGTCAAGAACCAAATTCCTTATCGCAGGTTTATTAAAAGATTTGGACTTCACTTCTTCTCTCATATGCATGCATGCAAGCCCAAAAAATAAAAGGATAGGGCAATCAATGAAATGTGTTTGCAGCTGCCAGCATCAATACCAGTTACTGGGGATGATTAAAATTCAATGACATGGATTAAAACCCCCTTAACCTTACACTCGGAAGTGTCGGGTCTAATAAAAAACGGTTCTACCATACCAGCATCCCATATTTATTATTATTTGCACAAATTCAAACGAGGGGCTACGGTGACCTACATTCCGGAAAACATCTGATGCTCGAACATTCATTGATAGCTGTGAAAGCTGCGTTTTGACAATATCAACCAATATCTCTCGTCTCTTGTTGTTTGAACTGTCTGAGTAGACTTTGGGATCTTCAAGCTTCCACATACCCTCAATAACCAGCGACATCTTATACCTCGATCTCCAAAATGTTAATCCAGGAAACTCACCATGATGTTCCAACGAAAGCTGGAGGAAAAGAAGGATCTATGAGTACAACTTGATTACCCCCCTCCTCAACGCAAACCAATCCCCGCTAATCACATCTAGGAATCTTTCTCTTCCATCCTACTATCCCCAACTACCCTCAAGCGTGTGTAGTGCAATCTATTCTACTATCTAATAAGGTTCAAAGCTGAAGCCTTTTGTCATATATAGACGATTTCCCGGTGTTGTTGTTTTCAGTGAGATTTATCAAGGTTAGTGGGGGTTTGGTGGGGTGTTTCAACTTCTTCCTTAATCTGTATATTTCTTCATGTCATATCATTGGTCTCCGTTGAGTTTTTCATATCCTTATCAGAGAGATAGATTTTCAAGTGACAACTCATCGATTGGAGTCCCACGGGGCTTGCTCATGGGAGATCACAATACCCCATCTCTTCCTACTTTCTTATCTTACAACCCCGCACTCACGTGCTACACATAAATATACGGGAGTACATGCTGACACTTTCCTCATAAAAGTCACTGGACCAGTTGCCCGATTCGCAAGACAGATTGCTGGACAAGGCTATATAGTCGCAGCACCTTCATCATACCATGAGTTTACCGGCCCAGAACCGCTCGCTTATGATGTTCCCGGAACTGATGCCGGCAATGAATATAAGATCACAAAGGTATGTTCCTTCAACATCAGATGTCGACTGCAACTTTGAGCCCCTATACATCCGAGATCAACATCTCCTATACTGTTTTTTAAATATCAATCCATTTCTCACCACATGACCCACAGACCCTCGAAGCCTACGACGAAGATTCCACCCTAACAATCGACTACCTCCTCTCCCTCCCTACCTGCAATGGCCGCATCGGCAGCACAGGAATGTGTCTCGGCGGTCACCTCGCCTACCGCTGTGCTCTCGATCCTCGTGTCGCCGCAGCAGTAACATATTTCGCCACCGATCTCCACAGCGCGACTCTCGGTCTCGGCAAAAAAGACGACAGTCTCGCTCGTGCCTCGGAAATCAAGGGTGAACTGGCCATGATCCATGGATGCAAGGATAATCATGTACCTCCCGAGGGAAGAGATCTTATCAGACAAACTTTGAGAGAGAAGGGGATTGTGTTTAGTTGGTATGAGGTTGCGTGGGCTCAGCGTAAGTTTTCATTCCTCAATATCAAATACTCCTTCATGCTAACACGAAACACAAAGACGCATTCATCCGCGACGAACTCTCAAAAGGTCGCTACGACCCCGCCATCTCCAAGATCTGTTTCGAGATCCTCCTTGAACTCTTCGGACGAACTCTCAAATTAGATCTCGGACCTCATGATGGAAAGGAGCAGAAAATAGAAGATATCTGTTAGTTTTCGCATGTACTTACTTGTATTTACATCCAAGTAATGAGATATAAAATACATTATTTTTCTTCTCCGAATCTTGATTCAGAAAATGTGTTTCCTTCATTCCCGTGATTGAACCCGATTCGATGATCAAAAATAAGACATCTAGCATCTACAAAGTATCCATCCATCTACCTGTTCACCCCACCCCTTCGATCTCAATATCCAGCACCATCTAAATTCCAGATACATGATAATCTAACCCACTCTCTCACTCTCCCACACTCTCACTCAGAATCTCAGAATATCCCATAGTCCAAACCACAATCCAACAATACCAGGTCATGAATATCTGTAGACAATGAGAACATTCAAATCCCCAGAGATATTGAATGTGCTTCGAATATCAAACTACGTTCAAATGTCTAATGGCTTTCAGATATTCACCCTCGCACGAGAATCTCACAGCATCCCACAGTCCAATTCACAAACCCACAATACCAGATCTTGAATATCTAAAAACAATTAAAAATCTGAAAATAGTCTGATATTCGAATCAAATGCAATATCTCAAATGATTTGAATATTCTCGCTGGGCTGGGGGAATTAATAACCTTCATTTTTGAGCTGCAGTCCCGGACTATTGGACGCCCTAATATAGATATGTGAATTTACCATCCCACAATACCTTACATACCATGATTACACAGAACTGAATCACTCACCTACCTATACCTACCTACATCTTTTCATATCACGAGAACTTTTATATCAAATGTAAATACGCACGTAAAGATACATGTACACATACACATACATCACAATCAAACAACTTCACACATCCACCCATAAAGTATTAAATCTCTCTATTAAATAGGTAATCAACCGACTCACTACCTACCAATTCTCATCCACTATATATAGATACGTATATAAACTCATTGCCCTCGTCATTGCAATCTCCTCATCGCACCACCTCACCACCCTCCCCAGTGCCAGATAGTTATATCAAAAGCCCCAACCAACCAACAAGGCAATCAAGTATCTAAATAACCCCACCGCATCCATGCCATGCCATCCCAACCTCTCCATCCCAAATTCCAATTCCAAATCCCTCTAACTTCCCATTCCCAAGATTAAAAACTTACACAACCAAGCAACCTTATACGCCACCAAATGCACATTCCATATCCTACGCTATGCTTTCCACCCACAGTCAATCTTGCAAATTCTCCTTCCCTCTCCCCCGAGAAATCTCAAGCGAAGGAAGAAAAGAAGGGGCTCAAAACAGGTATATCTCGCAACCATCAATCGAACGCTGGATAATTTGCAAAAATCCAAAGTCCAGATTCAAACTCAATTCAAAAGATTCAAGAAAAATTCAAAAGCAATAATGAAACGCCAACTATAAATGCTGCATCCATGTGTATCTATCTATAAAATTCCATCCATTCCTAGGTTATTGTTTTGTACCATCCTTGCATTCCCCGAAATCCAAAAGCCAAAAGCTGAAAATGATGAAAGAAGAAAATTGAGATGTGAAAACAAATGAAAAAGATCGGCTTGATCAAAGAGTGTATTCGATTCAATGCATAACACTTTGTCTCCATCGCTCCACCATATCAACTTGTCCCTGGTTAAGTGGTTCACCACCAGGTCCTGTAGCCAGGCCAGTAATGGGATTTGTGTGAATATTCTGCATTTGCATTTGCATTGGCATCGTGTTATTATAGCCGCCCATGGGCATGTTGTTTTGGTAGCCCATGTTAGGGTATGCATTTCCATATTGTGTCATGGAGTTATTGAAGTTATTGTAGTTCATAGTTGGTTGAGCGAATTGTGGGTAGCCGCTATTGGGAAGTGCGCTGTTGTGAAGGTTGTAGTTGGAAGTATTTGGTGGTCGGATTGTATTAGGTTGCCCATGAGGTTGCGGGTCATTGTACGTGCCACTCTTGACACGAGTACCACGGGGAGCCATATTTTGTTGAGTGACAAGGTTAGTCATTGTGCTAGCTCTTCGCTGGGTTTGCTTCTCGTGCAAGCCAAGGAGACCAGTAGCTGGTCGGGATGGTTTGGCAAATGATGAATTTCGACTTGCACCAGCGGCTGGATGAGCCGAGAGGATGTCAGCCATACTATTCATCTTGTTAATGACCAAAGGTTCTGGGGTCGCTTCAGCATCACCGGCCGTGCCGACTTCTTTTTCACGAGCTTCCTTTTCTGCCTGGAGACGTTTACGTCTCTGGCCTAATGTTTCCTCTTCTTCATTGACTGGAGTTGTGGAAACCTCCTTTCCTTTTCCCTTGCCCCCATCAGCATTCAAAATATCTCCACCAAATTGACTCATCATTTCAGATGCAAAATCACCGCTAACAGGTCTCGCAGCTGGAAGTCCAGTTGCTGTTCCTCCTTGTTCCTTCAGACGTCGAATGCGTTGTGCAAGTGTTTCTCCTTCCTCTTCTTCCACAACAGGAGTGCCTGTAGGAATGTGCATCATGGTAGTAGCTCGAGGCATTGGCATGGGTTGGCCTGTTAATCGAGCTCTGCGTCTACTAAGTGGCTCATTGTCTTCTAATTCACGTCTTTCCATTAAACCAAGGGGCCTGCGTGTATCTTGAACGTGAGCCCTTGTTACATTTAACATGGCCAAGGGAACATCTTCATCTTCTTCGGCATTAGGATCGTCATTGTCTCCAAGTTGCCACGCTAAATTAACCCGTTTTTGTTTCCTGGTTTGTTGTTGTCTTTGTAGAACTGTGTCCATCTGGAGTAATGTAGACTGCATGCCATTAACACTGACAGGTGGTCTTGTTCGAATCTTCTGTTGCTGTTTGCGCAACTGCAACTCGGCAAGAAGTGTGGTTGGTGGACCGTGGTAAATTTCATCGTCCCTTTGACCCTCATCCTCTTCACTTTCTACTTCACCTTCCTCGGCTCGTATGAGATCAGTCGCACCACTAACCCCACGTGTGTGCCGTAAAGGCGTCGTGTCTTTGTTATTAATGTCATCTTCGTCATCTTCAATAGGAGACCTTGTCGCCTTTCTTTCTACCTGAATATTGGACATTGTAGAAGCACGCTTGCCATCATCTCCAAGTAAATTATTGCTACTTGACCGACGGCCCAATAGAAAGTTGAATGAGCTTGTTCGTTTCTTTGAATTGTCATGCTTCTCCGGTGTCGGTGCCAGTAATTGAGCGCTACTCTTGTTGCGTTGGTGTGTTTTTCCGTAAACCTCGTTTCCAAGATGTCCAGCAATTGCATGATCAACGAATGCGGTGACAGGAGCATGAGCAGATGCATCCAAGATACTATCCAGAGTAGCAACAGCCGATTGATCTTTTAATTCCATAGCCTCGGTTTGCCCCTGTGGGAGCTCAAAGAACGCGTTTGCTCTCAGGTGGGGAGGCATATGCGACAAATCTTGTGTATTCCTTCGTCCACCCATACTCATTCTCTGATGTTGAGGAACGTATTCCAAGTTTTGCGCATCGTCGTTTTCATGTAGAGGCTCGCCATTCGTCTCCAACACATCAGGTAACCAAATAGCTGATTGCCGAGCAGCAGCTGGAATATTGCTTAGAACTTGCGATCTTCTCTTATTCCTTGCCATAGAAGATGGATTCTTGGATAGTTTTTGGGGCAAATTGAGCATCATAGGAACTCGTGCTGGGTAGTAAACCATCTGCTGCCCAGTACTTGGATCAGCATATGTTTGCGGCCTAGCCATCGACTGCCGATCACCAGATGCCACTCTTCTCTGATCATTGTCCCCTGGCAAAAGCTGTGTACCAGATGAGTATCTCCTCTGATCATCATGTAGCTCCTCAGGCATTCCGGATGTAGTTTTGTTGTGTTCTTCCATGATGAATTCATGATCAAATGATGTTCTCAAAGGTGCAGAATGGACTCCATCAAAATCCGCAAACATTCGCTCTGCCTGGTCAAATGTGTTGGTTGATGTTGAGGTTTGAGGTCGAGCTTCATCAACCTGGCCTGCCATATTCTCCGCCGTATTTTCTGTGCCGAGATTCTCAATTGTTGGTCGTGTCAAGGTCGCAGAACGTTCATCTTGCTCCGCGATTGAGGGCGTTCGGTGGTCGACAAGTGAGGGAAAGGACATGTTAACAAATGAATCCAACGGTCTTCCTTCCAACTCTGGTTCTGGTCGATTTCCAAATCTCGAGCTCTTCGACGCAGATCTCCCTCGCGTAGTGGTAGAAAAGGAGCCCTTCGGAGACATCATATACCCTGCAGGTGAATACCCCCGGATCTTGCCGCATTGTTCAATTCGATGATGGAGCCGGGGTTAGAAACTTCTCGTGAGACTTGTGGCATTTCGTTAAGCTGTGACAGAATGGATGACCGGCGACTATCAGAACGCTTCTGCTCCATATGGAGTTCCCGAATCGCATCATCGATGGAGGAGGTCATACTCAACCGTTCTGCTGTCTTTTCCAATTTGTCAATATTCCCTACATAAGCTCCTTGCAGCGTTTGTAAATCGGGTGTCGGGTGCCGTAACGCAATGCTGTGACCTGATGCTGTACGAACAATCGGCGCACGTTCTTTCGATAATATTGCACGAGGTGATATAGGAGAAGTTGTATTGTTGGACGACCCTGTAGCTGTATTATTTCGGGGACGGGGCCGTGGAATGCTCAAAACTAGGGGTTTCTCCGGTATAGTTCCCTCTCGCGATGTGACGTTCTTCCTTTCTGGTGATAGCGCCAGTGAAGGAGGGGATGTTGGCTCTCGTTCTACCTCGTGCTCCTCGTAATCGTCGTCTTCTACAATATCATAACTCCCACTCGTCTTTGTACTCTTCGAAGTAATCGATTGTACCATTTGGCTGAGACTCGGTGTATTTTCTGGAGAATATGCTTGCCCGTGGCTCGTATCGCTATTTTGCGCATCTAAAAATAGATGATTTGATGACAATCGTTGGAATGGAGAATTAGAAGAAGTAGAGTTTATTTCATGATCACCATCATGGTCCCCATCAAAATCGTTTTGATCCAGAGCATTATAAGCCATGATGGGCAAAATAATGTATGTTTTTCTCGAGGTTGTTGGTGATTGAGGAAGTAGAAGGGCAGATGACAAGCAACTACCAGGTAATAAACAAGCACACGAGCTAGAAACCAAGTAAATAACGAATAAGTTCACGGTAGCTTGCAAAAGCAATAGCCAAGTTCAAGTCCACCCGCCGCTACCAGGAATGGCTTTGGAAATGGAATTGGGGGGGTTTTTATTTGTTTGAATCCTTGATAGGGATACAAAGCTTTGAATCTGTTTATCGCGACTTTCCGTTAATTCCCCAAAGTCATTTCAGGTGTGACGACTTCGAGGGATAATGACAGACGCAAACGTGTATGCTCTTATTAACGTCTCCAGGGTCTTTATGTAAACAAAACGGGAAGGGGAAAAAAGATAAGATGGACAAAGTTTTATGAATTCGACGAATTCTATGGATTGGTTGCCATAAGTAAGATTATATCAAAGGAGGGAAAAGCTAATCAGTATCCTTGACCTTGTGTTCTTGATTATGAAAACGTCGACGAACGGGGTTGACGGGTTGATATCGATATGTGTTGGTGTATCAAGAGTGTGTATCTATGTTGAGATATCCCAAACACTGTATATTCCATCCATCCAAAGACGTTGTTTATATAATATGTTGATTCCCCTAGAGCTTCCCCTGAGAACAGTGATTGACGATCATAGTGAATCAAAAGACATCATAGGATTTAATTATTGAACTTCACACATGAAAAAGGAGGATTTCCACTACAGACATCAAACGGTATCTGCAACTATCAGGGCGCGCAAACCTTGAAAGCTTATCTACCGTGCCAAGGGGGTCGACAGGAACATTACATATCTATCTGCGGCTGCTATCTATTCCTGGACGCCATCTTTCAGCTTCTTCCAGCAGGACAAGTAGAACCCTTGAAGTCAATGAAACGAGGAAATTGTTTTACCGCGTAGGTCTTGAGCACAGCATTGGAAGGAAATTAAGAAACAAAGAAACTAGAAAATACTAGCGGACCAAAAAGCGTATATACACGACATGTCAAGAGGCTGATGATATCGTTTGGTGTAACAGAGATCTGAACCTCGAATTCGACGTCAGAACATTTGAGGCTAGAAGGAGTATGTGTGAATATCGGTGTCTTGAACACACATTCATGTTCAAGACATCGGTTTCGTGCAGACTGCAGTATAGCTTTACAGGCCGCCAGTTCATTAAGATAGGAAATTGGCAACAACAATCCTTATGTTGTAAGTGTGCATTATCACGTGCAAGCAAGCAAGACTCGAGTCGATTGAGGCTCTTTGGTGAGGTGATCCTCATTCTATATTCATGATCGTCCGAATGTTTTAGATCTGGCGAGAAAATCATAGTTGCCAAGGTTTTGGCGGCAGGGTCTTGTATATCGTAAGGGGTCATGTTTTCTATACTAGGACGTATTATGATTATGTGGTAATATATAGCGTTGTATTATGAGACGATTCAAGACCTTTCAACGCTGAAGGAAGAGGGTCTGGAAGGAGAGGGGACTATCCGCCCCTCCCGTCAGTGAATAAAGAGCGAGAAAGAGAATAAGAAGAATTTAGGCATGAATGAGGCAAGTTCTGAAATGAAGCGTATACCAGTACCCATTGAATCTACTCGATTGTATATTATATGGTCTCTGTTGAAGTGATGGGAGTTAGGAGCAAGTCTCAAACAAGTAGACCATTTCCGAGAAGTATACATATTCCGAATGCCCGTACCAGAGCAACATAAAACGAGAAATTCTCGTCGGGCAATGAGTGATCAGGGACCGAAAGAACTCTAAACCACCATTATGCTGTTTATTTTTTGATGTACAGACATGGTTCTACGAGTACAAGAAAATTGTATCAGGATATGTGCAAATGCACCCCAATCTCACCACCCGTAGCTCCTCATGCCACGGTCGAGAAAGAATGCTACGCCCTTTTCGTTTACCCCACCGAGAGTTCCCTCCACGTCTTACGCAGCTCCATTATCACTGCCCGCTCAGTGATGAGCTCCAGTGTCCCCTCTGTATCCTACCAACTTCATTCTACCGATCATCTCACCAACTGTGAAGAATCCCAAAACCTCAGCAACTATAACACCACCCGAGACCATCTGAGCTGTGCTGATATTTCGGATCTGTTCGAGCAAACCAGTAGGTGTTGCTTTGTTGGAGTTTGCTGCTGAATTGAAAGCAGAGCTTGGGTTTCCGGATTTAACACCCTTTACGATCTTTTGGAAGTATGATTGAAATGTTGAGGCTGGTCTGAAAGCCAAAAATCAGCTCACGACTTTGGAGAAAACGTTTCATCGTTGAACTTACGGAGGTGCCATCTTTTGACCTTGAATAACTAATTTGGAGAGCTCTAATCCAACACGAGCATAGTAGACGGTTGGTGGGATTTGTCCTATGAGCACAAAATTAGCCATTGACTTGTCAAACCACCGGAAAATCATCTCTGTATGCGGATACAAAATGAAACTTACGCTCAATGAAGGCAATCAATCTTCCGGTTCTTCCTCCAATTTTCCCTAAGGCATTTCCAAGGTTTTTGGCAGCACCCGAGATAGCAGGTCCTGCGGACGAAGTGACACGAGAAAGACCTTCGCTGGCTTTCGACTGGAAATCTGATGCTTTCTCTGATGCCTTTGCGGCGGTATCTTTGGCTGCTTCGGTGGCCTTAGTGGAGGTAGATTCAAATCTTCGTGCTGCCCTTCCAGGAGCCTTCATAGATTGCCGCAGCACGGTGCGGGAGATATGTAATGACATTATGGAATCTATGCGCCGATAAACAGAAAGAAAAGGACTCTCGCGTTACTCGAGGTGTCGATTATCGAGAAGTGCGTGGTGGTGGAGTGTAATCGCGAGAGAAATGCTTGTCGACTTTTTTGCCGACGCCGGGAAGCTTAGGAACGTTCCGTGGTGTGGAAATTGCAGATTACTAAGCACAAATCAACCTATTATTTTCAAGCAGGAGTTTTATATCTCTAATCTATCTTTACATTTCACATTTCGCCCAACTTTAGGAAAGCTTCTTATTATATTCAATTGAAGTGTCTACACTATACTATCGCGACAAATTGCATTAAATTTCATCCTAATCGACCCTATTCGTCGTTCTTGATTTGAACTTTTATAGCACCAGTCTTTGGATTTGCTGCTGTCTCGAAGGCTTTAATCGCATCTTCCAGTGGGAAACGATGGGTTACCAGCTTCTTCATATCAATGATACCACTCTCGACCAGTCGAATGGCTCTTGGCCATGTGTTACAGTATCTGTACTGAAATTGTAGGTCCACCTCGCGGTACTCAATCTCATAAATGGTAGTGTCATCTCATCTTTGCCTACACCGACCACGAACACCTTTCCACCGAATTTGACTGCCCAGCAAGCTGCAGCTACACTGCTTTCAACTCCAGTACACTCCATGGCGACTGCTGGCTCAATACCCCCAAAGGATTTTACAATAGATTTAGCACCCTCTTCCGCGGATAATCTCTCGACTTTGTGCGTAGTAACTGAAGGAACAAGCTCCTTGGCGAAAGCAAGTCTTCCCTCATCGATATCCGTGATAACAATCGGGCAAGCTCCAGCAGCTCGAGCACAAAGCAGGGTGATGAGACCGATAGGGCCAGCCCCGCAGATGAGAACTGGATCTCCCAACTTAACATTTGCTCTTTCTAAACCAGCCAATGCGACGCTCAAAGGTTCCAACATTGCTCCATCTTCGAATGACATGTTTCCAATCTTGTAACACCAAGTAGCCGGGTGGTTGACATATCTGCGAAGAAGACCTGGAACTGGTGGTGTTGACAGAAACAAAACCTTCTCACATCCGTTGTATCTACCAGAAAGACATCGCTCGCATTCACCGCAGATAATGTTTGGCTCAACAGCGACTCGATCGCCGACTTTCAGACTATCAACCGATGGATGAACTGCGAGTACAACGCCAGCTGATTCGTGTCCAAGTATGTGTGTGTCTTCGACAATCATTGGGCCTATACACCCAGCATGCCAAAAGTGTACATCCGACCTGGAATGACTGTTAGAATGATTATGTGCCATAGAATATCTTGAAACTCACCCGCAGATACCGACACTTCTAATGCCCACTGTAACTTCTCCTGGCTTCAATGAATCGCCCTTCTCAATGCTTTCTAAAGATGGTTCTGCTTCTGCAACCCACAATTCATGTGCTGGGTTGGTATAAACACCGATGTTAGACTTGGTAGGCTTTGCCATGGTGGTCTCTGAGATTTCTGTTGCTGAAGGGCTCATCGTTACTGCTTTTTTGGTCTTTGAGGAAAGTATATTCTTGAGGGATAGAGGAAGTTAAAGTATTCAGAATTCACCTGTGGTAATTACAATATTTGTCAAGTGACCCACGGTTCCAATAGCGTGCAGCAGAATTATCCGCGACCACCCACCCTTTCCAATAAGATGAGACAGTTCTGATATACGTTCTCCACGAATTATACGTGTTCAAGTCATCAACCCAATTCCCAATGCGTACAAAACGAGGTACATATTGAGATATACTATCATATCCCCGCCAAAAATAGTGGTGGGGCAGGACAGGTTATCGGCGGAAGAGAGCCCGACCAAGAGAAGTAAAAAAGAGGATTGAATGTTCATGCGCTCCAATCATATATCACCGACTTTTGCGCATGCTCGGTTTTTTACGGTGTACCCAGGTTAAATTGATCAAAGTAACCCGTGCTCTTGTCCTGGTCGAACATAATAATCTTTCGTGTACACTTGGTACGAAGTGATCTTTCGAGGAGTAACCCCACGGACACTCTCCAGTTAATTTACGAAGCGGATTATCGTGGGGTTTGAAGCAACGTCCCCCATTCATCATCTCATGTGGATGCTTGCTTCCGACCTCGGATATGCAGACCTCACTGTTTTACTTCCAAGTGCTCTCGGAAACTCAAGGCTTGTTCATGAATCAATCATTGGTTGGTAAATCTTACACATATTGCCTCGCCGAGAAGGGTTCCTGAATAACTTCATCCAAAGCAACACTTTAGCTAGTCCTCTTTCCCCTGCTTTTGACATACTGTTTGATCCTTCATATCAGCGTCACCCCACATTTTACCCCGCACTGTTTCGTTTCCGACAATTCAATACCTGCCATCCATTTATATCACTATGCCTCCTGTACCTCGGCCACTCATCAAATTGGCTATTCTTGATGATTATCAAGGGATTGCTTCTAAACATTTCGAGTCACTCAAGTCAACCTTTGAGATTACCGCTTTTCCAGATACCCTGCTACCTTACAATGATCCTTCAACTCCGGAAGATGTCAAAAATCAGCTGGTGGAGAGGCTTAAGCCATTCACAATCATCTCATCGATGAGAGAACGGACTCCCTTTCCCGCATCACTCCTAGAAAAACTTCCCAATCTCAAACTCCTTCTCAATGCAGCAAGTAGAAACAAGGGCATTGATATGGAAGCCGCCAAGAAACTTGGAATTACTGTCACCGGGGCGTCGGGGAAACCAAAGAGAGGACCAGATAGCACCACGCAACATACTGTTGCCTTGATTTTAGGAATTGCGAGAAATGTAGCCTGGGATGATAAAATAGTCAAGGGGGGTGGCTGGCAAACAACGTTGGCAACTGGATTGAGTGGAAAGACTTTTGGAACTTTGGGACTAGGTAGATTGGGCTCAAATGTAGCCAAGATCATGCATTCAGCGTTCGGTATGAAGATTATAGCATGGAGCTCGAATTTGACTCAAGAAATCGCGGATCAACAGGCTAGAGACAGTGGTTTCGATACTGAGGATGAGGATGGAGAGAAGGTGTTCAAGGTTGTGAGTAAGGAAGAGTTGTTTTCAACGGCCGACGTGGTTAGCGTGCATTTGGTGTTGAGTGATCGTTCGAGAGGAATAGTAGGTGAAAAAGACTTTGATTTGATGAAGAAGAGTGCTTTGTTTGTTAATACATCACGAGGACCTCTTGTTCAACAGGAAGCCTTGCTGGATGCTTTGCAAAAGGGAAAAATTCGCGGGGCTGCGCTGGATGTGTTTGATCTAGAGCCTTTGCCAGAAGATAGTCAATGGAGAAGCACAAAATGGGGAGAGGATGGAAGCAGCAAAGTCTTGTTGAGTCCGCATATGGGTTATGTGGAAGAAGGTACCATGAATGATTGGTATCAAGTACAAGCTGAGAACGTTCAGAGATGGTATGAGGGAAAAGATTTAACACATGTACTGGCTTAGATCTCGGATAGTCTCATCTTGAAATAAACAATCTTTCTGGAACCGCTAGTGCGATATGGCGGTAAATTGATGAGAATAAATTTGAACCTGAATCTCCGATGCGAGTGTCGCTCATCGCCGTAGTCGATTTCGCCCATCCCTTCACAATTCTTCCCAACAATTCAGTATCACAAATCTTAGACACTATCGCTTTTTTCCCTTCCACCTGATCACATTATACATCGGCTTTCTTCACACAGCTGCCACCAATTGAAGCACAGCAATTATGTCAGCAGAAAAGGCACAAAGGTCTAATAAATACCATGCGTATTCCCCTTCGTAGACGACAAGCATTCAATTCTTCCAGGTGTTCCTCAACCATGACTTGCAGCAATCTTCAACACATACACATATAATATTGAAGATGAATACACGCTCAATACTACCTCTGGTTGAAGAAGATGGCTTGACCCCAAGAAGTTTCGACATTGCACTGTCCTGCAAATTTCGGATCGTTAAGCATTGAGAAGTAAAGCGGGTATGATAACGAAAACAGAAATGGAGAAAAGGAAGTTTCAGATGGTGAGCTTGTCGCAAGAAAAAACTCCACAAACCCATGAGCAAGAAATGCCGAATTCAATCTGGGTTTGGTACCTGATACCGAGTTCGAAGGCTGCTGTCATGGCTCTGGTGCTCATGATGCTTTCCGTATTGCTACTTAACTTCTTACACTGCGAATATTTAGGAATTAGAAGCCCTTTCCAATGTCTCATGACCGAGATTCCTTCGTTGTGATATTGTAGGTTCAGATGGGACTAAATTGTCGTGTTGTTTTATAGTTAGCTAAAACTTTGTCTTTTCATGGCTGTCATGAGGATATATGTATCTATCTCAATGCTTGAGAAGCTAGCTGGGGATACTCGCAAAGGATTGACTACGCTGGGTGCTGTGTTATGCTATTAGTATGATTGGAGTAGTTGCCGGTGTACCTCTTCGTGATATTGAGGTTATGACTTAAGACGGGACTAGCAAAATGCATTGAATTGATTGGGGAGATAGTAAGTGTAGAGAGTTGCTCTAGTTGTACATGTGAGACTAACATGCGCTACGAGTCCTTGATATAGGAATATCGTCGTTTCAAAGTCTTGATAGAGTTTGATTAGCATTCTTGGATGGTGGAGAGAGATAGAAGGAGGTGCACAGTGATTAAGTACAGCAGTATACGATGGTACTCCCTCTCATAAAGCAGTTTTCGGTATGGTATTTCTAATAACCGACCTTGCATTGTTGGTATGCATTGTTCCGAACCTATGACTTACCACATTAAGAGGTTTCCTCGTCTCTGAGCGCTGTCGAAATTGCGACTATTAGAATAAGAGTGAACTTACCCTGTAAGCTTACTACCAGCACTTGATTTTATACTCATGACTACTAGCTCTAGTTATGCTACGAAGCAGGATTCCGAAGATCAGGCGGTTCAAACTTTTATCGCTTCTCTTTTATGTGGATTAATTGTTGGGCATAATCTGGCTCATTCTGTCATTCTCTTGGAATTGGAACTCAGGCAAGAATGAAACGCCACGGATTCTTATTAGTCTAGTCGTCACTTGTCGTTAAGATGAAGCGAAAGAGAATCCAGACGAGGAAACCTCAGATTGTATCTCTCAACTTCACTAAGGATCTGACAGCTAATGTATGCATTTACGGCTGTTTCTACCGATCAGGTAAACCAATCAAAGAGATTGCCAGTGCGTAACCATCGTGAATCATGTATGTAAATTCATGGGAGTAAATCAGTGCACGTGAAGTATTCTTTTCTTGCCCTCTTTCACATCATTTTGACCCACGAAAAATCCATCTCCAACCACAACACGAAAATTCTCCAAGTCTTATCTGCTACCTCGATCATTCCTAGTACCTTCTGTCTATCTCAATAGGAAACAGCAATCATAGCAGAGAATCAGACTAACGCGTCTGGCCCCTATCTTCTGCCACAAAAGTTCTTCGTAGTATATCCGGATAACCTTCTAGAAACACTGGATAGAATATGCGAGGAACTTGAAATTGGATCATGAATGATGAGGTGAATACAGCTTTTAGTAGCCTGTCACTCCGAAATGATAGATCGTGCTGATATCAGAATCAGAGAGCATGTAGAAACCGAGTCTGTATCTTGAGGTGATGATCAAGTTCGCATAGGGATTTTCAGTAAGGGATATCAGCTCGAAGGAATTGCAGTCAATGGTGTTGTAAATCAGGCTATCGCGTGGCTCAAGGTAGGTTCTACTATATTATAAAACTGTGTTCGAGGCCTAATGCTATACGAATAGAAAGCGGTCTTTGACAAAGGTGGATTTTTTTGATATGAAACGATGAAGTGAATGCAGATGTTTCTCGTTCAAAGCTTGTTCTTTCAATTTTGATAGATGATAGCCATATAGCTGTCCAGAAAGAGGAATCAGACAATCTGAAGACCAAACGCAGGATTGAGGAGAATGAAAATAAGCTCGAGGCCCTAGACTTGTCGAACGAAAGACCATATGAACCTTCTATATGCAAAGAACGCACGAACTGGTAAATATTCTTAGTGAATAATGGTGCATATATTCTATTTTTGACAGGTTCAGTTCTTCCGACAGCATACCAAGATCTTCATCTCATCTCGTTCAAGGTCGATGGATCACTTGATCCGGACAGCGCATATGTGGTCCGTTGCTGAACGCTTCGGGCATCTGACAAGTGATAATAGCTTCATTTTAGCCATTTCTTCATTCTTCTTCTGCTGAGGTAGATTTGCTCTGAGTAGATCAGATTATAGTCTTCAAGATTTTTGGAACGACAATGCCCAATTAATTCATGTGAATTATCAGGCGTGAACTGACCGGCGTGAAATTGTAAGTGAATTGAAATCTAAACAAAACTCACATAACGGCATTTCTAGCCAGTCGTCAACAGTCAAACACAAGAGTAGCTGACACTTTTTTATTGAATTGTTGGCACATTTGGCCTAGAAAACTCACTCATATATACGACATCACACTCTAGTGGTCAAAATCGAAATCTCTTCTTGGGTCATGGGATAGTAGTAGCTCTATAAGTTTTATACCTTGTCTAACCACGTTATAGTAGTATTTTCTTCAGCTTCATATTTTGGCAACGAGGTCGAAGAGATTTACAAGCTTTTGGTTTAACCAGTTACGACGGATTATTGAAAATCTCTACTTCTGTTAATTAGCCATTCAGGAACAAAAGGCTGCACCTGAACGAAAATGAACCCGCGACTAAATGGTTTGGCCTCGCAGAAGCCGCAGACTGCATCAAACAAGTCAGAATCAGAATCAAAATATGCTTTTACTCAGAAAATTGTTTTGAGGACACTTGATCGAAAGATTTTGGACGAAGGCCTTCGAAAGCAATGGAAATTCTTCTCAGAAGACGATAAAATGTTTGGATCATTGAATATTCGTGGTGGTTACATCGCTCATGATATGTGCATTTGGCGTAAATATATTTCATCATCCAGCCCTAAAGACGTCCTGAATTTGAAGCAATGTCTAGCTGAAAAAGCATGGCGCTTCTGGGAAGTAAGTTCTGCATGACATCGTGATATAGAAAAGACTCAAGCTAACATATTTACTTGCAGAAAAATCCGGACCCAGTATGGATTCCGGGCGCAAAAGAAGAAGAGGCGTTTGTGGAGGCTTACGAAAATATGGTTAAGATTATCCAAGGTATACCTGCAGAAGAGACCGACAACTATTGCGCTTATATTGAGCATCGTTTGCGCTTGGCAACGTCAACTGAGGGCGGAGAAATCCTTGGTCCTGTAAGCGTGTTAACCAAGACTTGATGACACAACTAATCAGATACATCTCTAGGTTCTACATGAAGTACTTTCCAATAAAGTGAGCAACCCTGAAATGAGACTTGCTGCCGTAAGTCCCCCATGTTTTCACTCGTCAAATGGCACAGACTGAGACTAAGGAACTCAAGTTTGAAGCAGCACAAGCTCTCCGCCCTGAAAAATATGTCAAGCTCGATGCGAATGATGACATGGACTTCGACTATTCTTGAAAGAAGAAGCGGAAGAGTTCGAAGGAGGTTAAAGCAAAGAGTCTCGACGCCAGGAGCTTTACGCTATTGAAAAAGCAATCTTTGGGCAAGAGAAAGAGACTTACAGGCGACGGAGACGATGATGGCATGGACTTGGTGAACAACAGTAGCGATCGAAACATTATTACTACAGCAGCCGGTACCTCCACTGTCTATTCGAAGCCGCTTGAAGATGAGACGTTCAAGTTTCAAATATATCATTCGTCAATTCCATTACTGGGTGTACGGTTGTGGTTGCATGATCCGTTCCAAAGTCATCATCATCGCATACAAATGCACGATGACTTCTACTAAACCAAGAGTTCCAGCATTGTTACGAAAGTCACCAAAAGTCTTAACGGCAATCATTCAACATTCATTTTAACTTTTTTTAGATTTTTTTGGGTAGTAATCTATCTAAACTATCGTTTTCGCTACCATAGTGTATTTGTTCGCCCATGGTATAACCTGCTCATCATTCTCATCCACATTAACAACTTGTAACTTTAGCTTGATCTGCCTCTGTATCTACCTTTGATATGATTTTTTGTGACCTTTTAATACCACTCAACATCATCACTTATTCATCGCCATCCAACCAGCGTACCATCTATTGAACATAGTCAATATCCCCTCCCTGGCAAATCATGATGAAATACAATCTCCACACTATCTTCAGATCTCAAAAGACGCAACGAACAATGAAAACAAAATGAAGTAATGAAACATAGACTCTGAACATCAAAATACCGCAAATATCTGTCCATGAAGAGGAAGATTGCCACCGGAGGAAATTTTGCTGATCACACGATCGAGAAAGTAATATCTAATAGTACGATGAAGATCGGAATTCCCGTGCAGCAGAAAAACGAGAGATAAAATCAGATTGTTGTATCGATTAAAAGGGTCCGGTTCTACATTCTAGGCAAAGTATTTTGCCATCGTGATGTATTTTGTATCCAGGGCGGGGGCGGGGGCATTTGACACACTTTCCACGAGCGAGGATCGGTCTGTCATCGGTATTGGCTGGGTTGGGTAGAGTTGTGCCGTTCTTCTTTGATTTTTTAGAAGAAGAGCTGCTGGAAGGAGTCGATAACTCGGAGCCTGTGTAACTGGATTGCCATTTGAAAGTGGAGGTTTGTTCTGATGGAGCTGCTGACTTGGAGCCTGAGAGACTACGCTGCCAATCAAAGTGGAAGGCTTGCTTTGGTGGAGGTTGAAGTGATTGAGAGGCCATATCAGATGACGAAGAGGCCATAGCTGACGTCTGGTGGGATGATTTCATTGCATCAGTTCCGCCAGTTCCTACGGATATGGGTGTTCCTGACATAATCTTCTGGTTGCTTCAATTGCCTCAAAGACAGCAGGACTTGTGGGCCCGTTCTTAAAAACAGCAGCTACGTGAAACAACTGATTGAAAAACAAAGCAGGATCTGTTCCAATGAAGTCAAGATTGTCCGAAGCCCAGCCTTGTACATCCCAGCCGTACAACTTTAGAGAAAAATTGACGAACTTGCTAAGTTCATTAGATCCAACATTTTCAAACTCTAGTTGACTCGGATCTGTGCCGTCTCCTGTTCCACAAATAGAGTCCATCCATGCAGGCAGGCTTTGCAGTTTATAAGAAAGTGATGTACTGAGAAGTCTTGGTCGGATGTTTGGTGTTAAATCCCGTGTAAAATTTCCATGCTCACCTCGAGCCACGACTGCATTAATTCAATATTAACACTACCAAGAAGCGAGGTAGCAATAATTTCTCTACATTCGACATAATGAATCCGAATCTGTTTCCGCGCTTTGTTGCCATAATCTTATTACAAGAGAGATTTTTAATATTGTGAAATAGTTTTCTCGAAGTTGATGACAGGAATGGTATTTAGTTGAAGCAATTAAAGTATTCTAAAGTCATGATACTTCACCTGAATTATTTTATTCTCCGAAAACATCCACGTGAATGACATAAAAAATTCGAGTTAGACACTCTACAAAAGGGATCATCTTGAGGAAGGAACTTAGCTTCAATCAGAGGCATAAAATTATTCTGGGTGCTCATCACTAAATGTCATTCTCACTGACAACCATCAAAGTTCTTTGCTCCCAACGCTTGATGCCCTCAAATCTTGATGCAACGGGTGATTCTAACTATTTTTTGAACCTACTCGGTTCCAAAAGGATACTGGGCTACATGATGCGGTTTTGGATATGACTTTAGGTTTTAACGCATCAATTATATTTGAATTAGTCGTCACCAAGAGTTGTGAAGATTCATACACGCGGAAACGCTTCACCAAAGGCCCAAACTTGACATCTCATGGTGGTGTGATTGTCTTTGTCTTTTGTCAAGGTGACCCACACTGAGATTTGATTTAAAGCTATACTAAAATCACCTTCCGATCCACCGTAGATCTAAGTGGGGTTTACGTTCAATTATTCTCGCCGTACTTCTGCCCATTCTAGTACGGCCAGGGTGGAAGAGCGGTGGCGGAGTATTTTCATTAGTTCATTAGATGATACTTGCCCTGAGTACCTAGGTACGCTCTTACGAATAGTACAATTCGATAGACCGTATACAAGGGGAAATTGGACGTATGAATCAGATACTACGGTGTCAGAGATAAATCGATTACGCTCATGACAATTGATTGCCATGTAATCAACTAATCTGAAACGGTCAAAATGGTGAACAGCCCAAAGATCTCCGCCAGATTTCTGTACGGTGGTCCATTTGTTCACATAACTGGAGGAACAATGTTGTAGTAGTCTTACTGATGTGGTGGTCAACGCCAATGATGACTTTCAGCTGACCGACGTCGTTGTTCTCGTCTCGTCCACGCTCGCTTATAGCCGTGCCCCATTTTAATTAATTCTACCCCGCAATTTAACGAATCTGATGTCGAGTAACACAACAGAAGTTGACTATAATGCAGGAAGAAATGCGGCATTCGCATGAAAATTTGAAAGAATTCCACAAGGTAGTTCCGAAATTGATTTTAATTGCTACCTGATTCAAATAGATACGCATTCTGTAAGGAGTCCGGCAAGAAAGTCTTGAGGAATACAGCGGCGATGATAGCTACGTCTATTCTAGTCTGATTATTTGAATGAAGCATTATGGCTAATTCAAGTAGTTTTACTCTGTCACTCTCACAATCAGAATTCTCTCATATGGATATTCATTTACCCAGTATTAAGAAAATGATGAGGACATCTACATCGAACATATCTCATGATGTGAATGTCCTTGCTTCGACTTTGGTCAAGATACACAATCTTGAAGCGTGAATCAACGACAGCGCGACCCTGTATCTACATCATATTCTTGGTACAGTATGACCGTACCAAGATGATTCATATTCATCTCATTTGGCCGTACTTCTGTCAATCTTTGTATTCCAGTACGGTGTATGTGTAGATACGGCGCCGGCCTAGTTTTCATCAGTTTAGAAGCTCCTTCCGCTGGGTACTTAAGTATCTAACATTGCTGCTCTCCAACAACTTCTAAATCTCCTAACTTACAGTTTAATCCTCAATCCAACTTCCAAAGACACCAAGAATCTAAAATCATCAAACAAGTTACCTCTCCACCAAATCACCACTTCAAACCTTCAAACCTTCAAACTTCAAACACTTCTCGCCATCATACAACTGCAAATATGATGTGCCCAAAGCATTACGACAACTTGCTCAGAGAAGAAGATTACTTTCGATCCCAGTACAGAATCGTTATCAGTCTCAACCTCACTGATGCTCCCGATACTATCCATTACACCGATCGAAATATCCATACCGCCGTTATGAATGTCCATGGCAGCCTCTCTATCTTTGAAGACTCTCCTAAATTTAGAAGCGATGAAAATGGCGCTTTCTATAGACAAGACGATGCAATTGTCAATGCTCGCGTCAAGCTTGTTGAATGGTTCAAGGTAAGCTTTCACAATCCACAGCTTTAGCTATAATTTGAGGAATAATATTGTACTAACATAGACATATGCAGGACATGGAAGCTAAAGATCTTTTGCAATAAGCGATTCAACAAGCCTAAATTACTCGCGGTGATGTAGAAGGTCACAGCCGAAGTGCAGCTTTGGGAGAAGCCCAGAATTACGATCAGTGGTTCTCGTGCCATGTGGCGGAATTTGAGGAAATTCAGTCGACTAATTGATGTTTGGTCTGAAAGCAAGGGGTTGCGGAGTTAAAATCAATCAAAATATCAACTGTCACTGTTGAATGAGGGGATCTCATAGTCTTTTCAGTTGAAAGACTTCTTTTAGGATAATAGGAATATCAATACTACCCAATCCCATAATTCGTCTAACGTTTTAAAGCCCACGTGAAAGACAACTGTGCATGCTCTTGTAGATTATTTTCAGTGCCGCGAATAAAGTACCTTGTGATCCAATAGCATCATTAAATCTTAACATTTTATTGTGCAGTGCCTAATTGAGAGGGAAAAAATAAACCCAGCATAGGTAATCTCAATATTTCCGTACTGCTAATGTCCGCAGCATTCTCCAAGACAAGATTCAGAAATGAGAACAAACTCTGAACCTCAACTCATGAATTAGCACAGCAAAGAATTCCATTCACAAGATATAATCGTATAGAATATCAAACCGGTAGAGTGCTCATAGATTACACATCGCTTGCTGTGTGGGAAGCGCGGGTAAACTCCGGATTGTGATATTATCCGAAGTATGAAAGGGGAAATATCGTAATTCAAGTAGGACACCACAGTAAGAAGATTGATGAAGAGAAAGAGCTTTTATTTGTGATACAAGTGCTTATAGGAAATAAACATAAGGCTCTTCAATGTTCCAAAAGGGGATTTGATAGAATCTTGAAGTATATGCTATAAATGTGACCCTCGCCGCGCCAGTTGACCTTGAATTTGCAAAATATTTTACTATCGCAAAACTATTCATCGACCAAACATCGGCTTTATCATGAAACTGTCAACTCATATCGTAGCGATAGTTTAGAGAGCGGAGTGACATCAATCACCTCAAGCTAACAGAAGAATCACACTAAGAGATCCGGAGACCCTGGTGTCGAAACCCCATGATGACTTTTGCATGAATTAACCTTGGGAATCCGCCAGTATCGCCATTACTTTCGATCTCCTTGCCGCTCTCTTTCTTCCTTGTTTGCTTAACTTTCGTGGCACATCTACATCGCCATCAGGCGTGTCCGTATCTTCCTCTCTAACCCTCTTCATTCCGCGTCCATTATTGTTGTCGGTGGTATCCAGCTGTGACAAGTTCGAACGACGTGTTAGCCTTGTAAAACATAGAAACAAAAACAAAATACTGGGAGTAATTGAGTTACCTGTGCTATTTAATTAGATATACCAGATTCCGATATGGTTCCAGAAACAACGACCCAATTCGATCTTTTGACACAAGATGACCGCAGATTCTAGCATCAATGTTGATGAAAGTTTCATATTCGTCCGCAAATTGCTAGTCTTGATATTCTGATGATTGTATCTTTGCTTTTAGACTAATATACAGTTTTTCCTCTTTATGACTAAAGTGTAGCTTCGCGCTATTGTCCTAAAGATTATCCGTCAGCATAAGATTACGATCCCAAGATACCTAGCCGGTTGTTTCATTGACATACCTGAAACCATTTGATGACTTGAGAAGACAGATCAGCTTTCGATTCCCGTCTCCCAAGCAGATCGACTCGATTATGAAATACTGGACAGCTCCTAATTCCGAAGCAGCCATCTTTCAACCCCATATGTGCAGTAACTCCACAATCTCTACCTTCCTGGTTGGACAAATGCAGAAAGACATCTTCGTGAGACGGAGATGTGAAATATTTGACCTTATCGAAGCCGTAGAGTCCACGAAGTTGGTTGACCTTGCCAGCTAGGGATTTGAAGATTTCTTCGGGCGAAGACATTGCGAATAGTTTGTGTTATGGAGATTGATCGAGATTGATCGAGATTGATTGAGATTGCTTGCTTTATGGTTGAGAAGGTGTTATGGGAATTTTTCAAGGGTGCGAAATCGGCTGAGAGCATTGCGATAACTATTCGTTTCCAATACACACCGGTGAATTAATACAACGTTGTATGGAATACATTCAATGCAAGAACAAGAGGCTCATAAATTTAGCCGCGCCATCTCCAAATCACTCAATCCCCCGCCAAATTGAATCTGACCTCAAGATCTTTATGTCCGATTAGACCGGTCATACAATTTACTCGAGGTGAGGTAATATTGTAAAGCATCGTAATGTTCGAAGGCGGGACAATCTAGTATACCAATACTAAGTGCTCAGATAGATTCTTGAAAATTCCTCCTCCGTCGTATCTCAATCAGTAAGAATTTATCCACCCAAAAAAATCCAACAAAACCAACACAAAGCCACACAAGAGAGCTAACATCCTCATAACTCTCATCAACCCCCAATCTTTGTCCAAATCCCAACATCCTTCTCAGCAGTCCCACACTCCCCAGACAGATATACACGGAGCTAAGCCCCCCATCCCAACTATCCCTTATACCAACTACCATCCACTCTCGACCTCGAAACTAGACTTCCACCACTCATCCAAATATCCAGAAATCCCGCATACCAACCCAACATCCAACTTTCAATCGACCAAATCCCAGACACGGAATGAGTAGGATACAGAGCGAGATACTGCCTGATAAGTATCGCAATGAATCAAGGTCTCAAAATCCCTTTTCCCAAAAGGAAGTCGCGTCGAAATTATCCCAGCGGAAAATACCAATACAGCATCTACACAACCATCTCACAAGTCAACTCACGCCCAAATCACGAATTCAAAAGTGCAATATCGATCCGACACAAAAAACCAGCTAAACAGGCTTTCATCATCTCATCTTCATCCCAATTCCACATTATTCCTCCCAACATATCCGAAAACGCCCACCTGGAAGACATATCATTCCCGATGGAAATATATCAACCAACACATAATCGACAAATATCCATCAAAAAGCGCTATCCTAGACAGGGAGCCTTGAAGAGACACCACAAATAGGCATCAAGCACCGTGCCACTTTTCCGAGATTCGTAGGTCAAGCTCGGAGATCTAATCAGATAGAGATGGCAGGTACGGTCTGACTACTTGGTGGGTATGATATCGAGCTATATTTTGGGAAATGGATGATGTGAGATTCTACGGCAATGGAAGAGATTAGTGGCGCTGGCTCGTTGACACCACACAGCATAAGCAGTATTTGACCTTCTCGTTTCCTGCAAGAATGCTCCTCGAACTCACTTCACGATAGCGACTACACAGGGGTAAAAAGATCCATATACTCATTGCGAAATCATTATTCGCTATCAATTTCATGCCAAAACGCCATCGCAATGCCTTCGGATGTTCCACATTTGCTCCGCGCTAAGTACGATCATACAAAATACTTCTAATAATTACACGTTACACATTCTACCTTTCAGCCCGACTTCTTACTTCTCGCTCGCAAGCTGTCCAGCATCATGTGCTCTCGTATCACTAGGGAGTGCTACTCGCCCATATCCCATTCCCTCCTCAATATATCCCTCTTGATGATAAGTATCTTCACGTGGGGAAGCCGGCATGCTTGCTATACTTGATGATGACTCAGAGCTGATACTGGTCCTATCTTGAGTCGTTCTATTTGGTGAGGCTTGAGCAGTCCCGGCATTTTTCTCATTACCGACATCTTCTCCATTCGAAGGTCTTTTCGTAGGCGTGGGTGCGAATTTAGATCGTTCTCGGATGGCTCCACCATATTTATAAAATAAGAAGGGGATTGGAGCGAGAAGAATGGCGATTCCACCGATCAGTGAGCCACCACCACCGACGCCGAGAGCATCGAACATATATGATGTAAATAATGGAGCTGCGGCGCCAGCTGCCGATCTGCAAACAGTGTTTGCAGCAACAGCACTCGCGGCATACATCAGGTATGTATCGGTTAAGTAGTTGAGATAGGCGACAAAAATGAGAAGAATTGATGTGGAGAGAAATACCCCTCCCAGGGTGGGAACAATCCAGTGAACCTCATTATAATTTCCAGACCACGCGAACCAGAACATGGTGATTGGAAAAATGATTCCACCGGCCATTGCGACTGGTAAACGATCCTCTGCGACTCCAACATGGCCAGCTTCCAACTTCTTTCTATCGCGAGAAGACACCATAAAGATGGCGACACCTCCTATGAAGGCTCCAATAATTGTACCAATCAATGGTAGTTCTCCCACCCCGGAATTCCAACCACGCTTCTCTTGGAAAATGATAGGATAGATGGTGAACAACATATACAGCAGAGCATACACGACAGATAAGTAAACCGCAACAGCGAACGAGATCGGGTCGACAAGGAGTTGCCATGGTCGAATGAGTGCGACCTTGAAAAGTTGCCATAATGTGCGATCGCTATCTTCGACAGGAGCCTTGACATTTTCGTAACCTGGAATTTTCAATGCCCTTATTCTCCTAGCTTTGTTTACTAATATTTTCGAAGGTAAAGTCTCTGGGATAGTAAACATCAGAAGTTCGGTGATACCCGCAAGCCATAAGATAACGTAAAAATTCCACCTCCAATCTTTTTTCAATTCGAGAAAGCCAGAGATGACAGGACCCAAAGCTGGACCAGCGAAGGTCATCATCGAGAACAAAGCCATTGCATTTCCTCTTTCCACAGGACCCCAAATATCAGCGAGGACTCCAGGCGCATTCGAAAGTGGCGAACTGGCCATGGTACCGGTTATGAATCGTCCTATCAACAGAGCTGCGAAATTATTGGCGAAAGCACAGAGGAAATTGAATGCCAGGTACAAGGTAAACGAGATGTAAAAGATCCATCTTCGTCCAAAGAACTCTGATAATGGGGCCCAAAACAAAGGTCCAAAGCAGTATCCCAAGAGGAAAACCGAGATGACCAACGCTGCAACTTCGGCAGAGATACTAAATTCTTCCTCGATTCCCGTCAGACATCCCGATGGACTAGACGATGCAAAAGTTGCATTTACGACGAGCAAAACTGATATCACAGTAATATACCATCGTCTCGCGGTCGACCAATTCTTCGGATTTTCGATATCCCCTGGTCCAAAGTCCAGATGGCCATTTTCATTTATGTATGGTTGGTCATCGTTGATGTGTTTCGTGCGGTATGGCTTCGCATTTGGCCTTGATAAAACGCGCTTTATTCGATCCATCTAATCTTGAATAACAGCACAATTGTCACGATGAGAATTGTTGAAGAAGAATGAATCGGGGGCGGGGGATCTACGTCTATAGATTGGCATTTTGTATAATTGTGGATAATCGGCATCTTCGAGACTAACTCCTAGTGAGAGTTGAGTATGATTGAGTGAAATCGGATAGAAAGTGCCGTGTCATATCGTCATCATTGATCACTTACTTTACTGCTTTGGATTATAGTTCGGCTCGATCCTTATAAAGCATTCAATGGATAAAAGCTTACGGCCAATAACGATACGTCTTGAGTTTCTCTAGCAGCTGAGATTTCAACTCGGCGAATGGCAGTTCATTTTCAATAAGGGGTATAGGGGTATTTACTCCTAGATGGGATGAAATCGAGAAATGATTGACATGATTATCAATGACAATGTAAATATAAATCTGATCCTTTGAACATGGACATAATGATGTTTGGTGATGCTTGGAGCTTGGAGACAACCTTGAACTTATTTCTCACATCACAAGGTCAGAGCTTCTGCACTCTTTGTCAGACTAAATTGGGTTACATAAGCGAAAGAATGATTTCCGGATTTAAGGACTTTGCATCCTTTATATCCTTTAATGATGGGCCGCTTGAAGAGCGACTAATTCCTTCAAGCGGCCGACTAACTTCTCGTCGGCCGCAAGAGCCGACTCTCATATGGATCCTTGAGCAGCTTCTGAGAACCTTGATATTGACGGAGACCTCTCCGCTCTCGTTACCCCAGGTCGTATATAAAACCCGCAAACTCGTGGTCACATCCTATTCGATTACTACATCTCTATTTATTCTTCATTTCATCCATCACTTGCATTTTCTGAAGCTATTCTGGTATTGTCAAGCTCAA